TTTCAAATGACCACTGCGTTCTGGTATCCTTTCAACACGAATTCTATTTTCACTGCTCTTTCCTCTCCCGTGCGCTGAACATGGCACAACCATGCGTGAATTCTCTATGGTAGAAAGTTTTGAAAGCTCGACACAGATAGTAGAATGGTGCCAAGGTGATGGCGTGGCAAGTATGGGCGCAGAACCTATCAAAAAACAATCCATTTAGAGTAGGCTCATACCTCGAGGGGTCCTTCAAGTAGGGGAGTCGCATTCGATATATTAGGAACAGGAAAGCGAAAAATACTGAATAGCAGACCTGAATGCATGGAGAAAACAAATCAATTCTTTATGATTGTTATGACAATCTCCTGATCTGCAGAGGCAAAATGAGTACAAGACATTTTTTCGACCTAAATTGTTTAGTGAACGAACTAGCCACTAGCCCTGGCTGAAATCGAAGCGTTTTGTGCCGAAGTATGTGTCCCTCCTGTTCCTATTGTATGTAGGAAATAATACACCTAAAGTGATTTCAGTACCAATGGTCCATTTTTTATGGGTTGGGTTTAAGGAGTGAGGACCCTTCTTCACCTCTGAAGAATTCCTAAAGTTGAATGGAATTGTGAAAAAAAAAGAGCTAAGAAGCAATAGAGTTGCCCTTGTCGAATATCTTCACTAGACCGAGAAACGACACGGTTTTAAAGTAACCATTTTGCCGTCTGCGGTACTTTTGAGGGCAAGCCTATCATGTCATCACATTCACGCTCAAGTGCGCAAGCCTTTTTTGGAGAAAAATTAACAGCAAAGGGAATATAAAGCTATAAGTTTAATGCTCACTCAGGTAGGCTCGATCGTTGCAAGCGATCCATTCAAAGGCATCTAGGCATCTAGCATCTCCTTTTTCACAAAAAATGCGAATAAGTTGCTGTTAATGTTTATGCGGCGGACAGGTTGACAGAGCGATTACACGCTCAATTCAGTTTTCCACAGTTTTCTTCAGGAAAGTGCCGCAAAATTCGATCTGTGTGAGGCTTGCCATGGCCATAAGCAACGGTAGCCTTTTTGTAGTTGTAAGCTGCCATTAAACTGCCGAAATTATCATCGCTTAACTGGTTATAAACTAAAGCAGTGACGGTTATTTACAGAAGAGTCGCCAAAACGTAACGCTCTGAAGTTCTACAGAAGCGATGTGTCTTCACTTGGAACTATGTGATTCTGCATGAGTCTTTCCTAACCCCTCTTCATCTGCAGCCATACAAACCCGCGCCTGTCATTTTTACGTCTGGAGGGGAAGCACACCACTGCTCACAATCGGTAGAAGAAAGTGACGGAACAGATGTAATTCCTGTTTTGAACCTTGCTTCTGCAAAAGACTAGAGTAGCGTTACACACATCTCTTTGACTTCACACACTGTTCGGTTGACGGTGTGAGCGGAACTACCCTCCTGTGAGTAGATCCAGACTCGGCGCTCCATCATTCGAAGCTTCATTTCGTCTACCCACTCATCGTTGGCAGAGTGAATGTTGTGAGCACCACGTCGACCTTCCCCTGAGCCAACTTTTCCTCCCGTGGACATGAGCACACATGTTTACCCATGCCCTGAGAAAGTCCCGCCATACAAATTTTGATCCTGCTCATGGTGAACTTTAGCGGCCGCTTATCCTGCGACATTGCTAATTTAACTCATTGCGTACCGCAGTGTTTTGCGTTAGCTGCCCAATGTGCCCGGCGTTTCCTTCAAAATCGAGCGGGCGACGTGGTTCACGATGTACAGCACGTGGCCACACAGAGCGGTTGTTTGGGCGAATGGCAAAGTATGGACTGTTAAAACTTTAACAAAAGTCTAGAGTGATTTTGGACGAAAATCGAAAATCGGAAAGCGCAGAGGCGGAGGGGCGTGTTTCACCATGTGCAGCACGCGGTACGCAATGGGCTAAGAAGTTTGCATCGATTCTGGCTCTCATGCTTCTATTCAGCTCTTGAGTATTCTTTTCTGCAGTCAAGATGACGAAACTGGGCAGTGAATTAAGTAACTGTGCTGGCTTCCGGTCAAAACAAAGTCGATGGAGCCAACACCGCTTTTCCCGACATCCCCTCACATATGTTCTCACTTTCAAATGGGATAATTTTGTAACATTGTGGATAGAGAACGCTGCATGATTACTAGCAGAGGAACAGCGCCGGATTTAGCAGAAAACCTGACTTAGCGATCCCTTTTCTCCGCTAACCTGAAAATCGTAGACATTCTCTCCAATTTCCTCTGAGAAGGAGTGACCTGTTCGACTAGTCATTGGGAGTAGTGGTAGACCTTTGATGTTTTTCCACTTGTTCTGAAGTCAATGCCTTTGTTCACCATATCTTCGCTTAGCTTAGCAAGACCTGACATAAGTAAACATGAACCTTGTAGCTTACGTGGCTTCACGTAGATGTCCTGAGGAAGGCGAGTTCTCCCCACATGGATGTGAATGGTAACGGCGTCTTCCATCGAATGGAGAATAATTCAGAGACGCGAGCTTTCGATCGTCTATAGTTGAATACTTAGCAGCATTCACGCAACGAAATGAAAATAATAATAACACCATATGCCCAATTTCCTTCATCCGTGGCTCACTAAAGATCACTCACTTAGCGGCTCTGAATTGGTTGATCACAACTCGAAACAAGAGGTTGGAGGCAAGCCAGAGGCAAATACACAATGCAAGACCAGGGAAACTCAGGAAAAGGGCTCTACGCTAATGCTGAACTAAGTCGTTTACAGCCCGCTCCTCCTGGCAGGATACACGTGTTTGTGTGCGTCTTACTGTTGCCTGTATTTTTTTGTAGCCTGCATATTACATAATTGCAAGAGTGGGCATCGGCTTAAGCCGTGAATTCAGTTTGGATAGCGATAATCAAAACTTCACAGCCTTTCCCACAAATGATTTCATTAGATGCTACATTCACAACGCTGACTGCGATTGTTTACAGAACGAGCCTTCTCTCACAGAATTGCGCTTTTGTTTTCGCGGAAAATGACTGTAGTGCAGTTTCAAGAATGTAACGATCATTGCACCCCTCATACAGCAAGTCAGTAAAGAAACAAGTGGTAGTCGTGAATAACCAACTTTCTGACTTCGCATTATTTCTCCATCATTCGGCATTCGCAAAGCTCAGGGAGGGCTGCAGTTCACTTCATTTTGTTAGATACCAGATTATCTTTGAAAAGCACCCAATTTCGATCGAAAACGGTCAACCGATGTCCGAAGCATTGTTTCAACCGATGTCCAAAGCACTGTTGTTCTCTAGCACTGAAGCAGCACTCCACGAATTTTTGGAACTGAGGCCTTTCCTTTACATTTCTTCAGGTTATTCTTCGCAATCCAAGTAGAGACAGGATCCGAGCGTTGAGAGTTCCAGATGAAATATGAATTACAATTGCAACCCAACACTACCTGAAGTAGAACTGACATAAAAAACGAAAACTAGCCATGGTAGTTTGAGAAACAGAATAAAGTGCCAGTTATGATTACTTGCTGTACGCAAGCTAAAAAGTTCCCTGTTACCTGATGCTGCACGCTACGAATCACAATGGATGTTTCCGAAAAATGGGCCATACATGTGCACTGATGAAGTAAGGAAGGCCCTTGCATCCAAGCATTCATACTCAATTCCAAATTTGTCTCATTGCTCAAATTCATTGCCTTCGCAATTATATCGTTCTGTCCATATTTTTCTTCCACTACATTGTCAGCGTCACTCTCAATCAGAAATCAAAATGAGGAAGTCTGGCTTTCCGATGGCGCATTACTGATGCCATTCTTTCCCTAAGATCCCTAGTTCTGTCGGAGAAGAAATCGGTGTAGTTATGCAGAAACCAGATATCGCTTTTAATCTTGCTTGATATATGCTAGATTTCGTGAAGTAAAGCCCTCCTTCGGAATGGCGTGGTTATAAAACTCTGATACTAGAGTTTTACAATTTTGAACAGGCTTCCAGAGGATGAGTGAACGGCACTGCTACGAATTGGGTACAAATTCTAGAGAGAGCATCAATTCCATACCAGTATGACTCAAGTGGAACTTTCAGGTGTGTCATGAGATTTTGACCAAAATTTATTGCATTTTTATTAGTCAAGCAATCAGAAAGAATGAATAGAAAGAATGAATTTTTCTGAGCAAAGCATAGCCCTTTTCGGTCTTCTGTTCTAACGGAATAAAATCGGCACGCCTCGAGAAGTGAGCTTACGACCCTCTAAAAACTACTTGTCTCTTGATGCTACATGATTTGCAAAAAAAAAATGACCGTTAAGAAGGTGTGAACGCGTCATTAAGGAGAAAATACCTCGCTAATCACTCAGAAGATTGAAAATCTGCCTTTGTCTGGAGTGAGAGGACATATCACACTATAAGGATTTTTGAGAGGCCACACTCCATTCCTACATATCATACAGCGAAAGCACATACCAGCTCACACATTTCCTCTTAAGTATCCAAATTCGACTCACAATGAATCTTGGCATAGATATGAATGAATTTTGTAAGAATTTTCGTAAAACCTGCTGCCAAGATGATAAATAAGCTCTTATCAACTCACGCTTCAGCTTTATCGCCTTCTTCAAAGTCTGGAAACTTGAAAAATTATCGCTATCCATCTCTTATTCAACAGCCCATCTCTCATCCCGAGCTATCGATAGTGGGGCCACGTTGTTTCTTCTAATATGCTCCACAACAGTTTTCAAGAGCCAGAGGGTAGCCATCGGGAAGTGAGATCTTTCTTGAAAGCTCAAAAGAGTCCGTTCTCTCCTGCCCTCCGGATGACACCAAGATGGCCGTCTTAAACATGTTACTTGTGATAGCTCGCTTTGTTTTAAAGATGCGCTGATTTGAAGTATACTAGAATGCTCTTGCTACTAGATTTTCGATACCATTTGCTACGGTAAAGATCACAATTATACCTGAGTTGCGTATGGACGGAAGGCAGGCAATTATCTTTCGGCTTCTCTTGTATGAAATTTATATTTCCTTCTAGTTTGTTGAGCAGATCATAACACATGTCCATTTCCTCTTCCGTTGAACAGATCACAAAAGAGTCGCCTATGTAGAGGCAGTAAAAAATAGGCCGGTGATCCAGTGACAGCTTCTCTTTTTTGGACATATAGGCTAGGGCTAGCACGTGCCAGCTGCCCCATGGACAGTCCCTGGTCTGCTCGTAATAATGGCCGGTCCGCCTGAAAATAGGGCAATCGAGATACTTTTATTAAGGCTATTATCTGGGTGATGGGAAGGCCGTAGGTGTTTGCCGACGGTTCATATTCATTGAGCAGTTCTAGAGTGGCCAGCATAGCATCCCTATTCGGCATGTTGTTATTGAAGGACTCAAAATCGAAGGAATCCGTGACGTGGTTGTGTTTGAGACTGAGAATTCCCACAAAAGTTCCAGCTGGCAGCAGAGTCACTGTTATCGGCGATATAGGTGATATTAGTCTTTCCGACAAAACACTGTCAGGCTTGGACCTTGGCCTCAGCTTCGCTCCTACTCAATCAGTAAGTCAAGAGGTATCGCGTAAAATCCTAGGCTTTTCGCAAACTTTGCAGTTCCAGAGTGGCCTGCATAGCATCCTTATTCGACACGTTGATATAAAGTTATGTAAAATCAAAGAATTCCATGACGTGATTGGGTCTAAAGCTGGCTTTCACAACTGTTCGAGGAACATATCAGTATTGGCAAGGTATGGGGGAGTATAATGTAGCAGCTGTACTTCCAGGTTTGGTAGCCGAGCAATTCTATTTGTAGGGCCCTCTACACTGCTTATTATTGGCCGTACCCGGTAGTCCGCTGAATTGTTTGATGACAAGGTGGTATGGGTGAGCTTAGTGTTTTGAAAAGTGTGTAGAGAACAGGGCGGGTAGGTAGGTGCAATTTTAATCGTCTACCTACCGGTTTAGGTAGTTGCGAAGATCGCACTGCCTCCATCCACACCCTGTTTAGCCGCTGGTATTGCTTATTGAACTATGCCAAAGAAGACGGTTTGTAGAAAAACTCGTCCTCTAGATGTAAACGTGTTATTGCGCGATCTAGTTCTCAAGGCAATACCACAAACTCCCCTCCCTCGTCACCCACCGATATTTTGATACCATTGCTAGTTGCGAGATTGTTGAGTTCCTAAGTTCCTGTGTTTGTGCTGTAGTTAGATTTGTTGAATGTCGCATATGAATGTTACGCCTGAGTATCTTAAATCCCGAGGTTGCAAAATGGCGGAACTTGATATCTACTGCTACGTTAGGGTCGTGTGGCTTGAAAAACGGAGGAGGAGAAGGTATGGCTGGTAAACTTAACCTTGCTACACTTGGTGGAGTGGTTTCCTACAACTTGGCATTTTGGCGTAATCCATCTTGCAAAGCTTGCAGCGAACCTAGGATTTAACGCGACACCCTTTGATTTATTGATTGAGTGGAGGCGAAACTAGAGTCAAGGTCGAAGACTGATAGTGCATTTTCGGAAAGACTATTATCGCTGACATTGCCAATAACAATAACCCTGCTACCAGTTGGAACTTCTGCCTTGTTGTTGTCAAAGCGCGATCTAGTAGGGGGTGGAATCTTGTAGTGATTGTGATAAGTTGTGCCCAGGTAAAACCCAGGTAACATAGGTAAAACCTGGTTTTTCTTGCCTTTCAAAGTTGTCCTCAGAATGCGAAGCTCAATTTCTTCCATTTGCTTGCTTCCAGCCGGGAGGCCGCATACCTCGTGCAGTCGTTTATTCCTGAGGCGATTTTCAAGGCAGCGCCGGTGAAGTGGTTGGCCTGTTTCGCTACAGTGATCTTCTGTCGTGGCGAAAGCTTTCCCTTCACGAGTCGAAAACAGTTGGTTGGCACATGTTTTATAAGCATCCATGTTTGACTCTCGATGAATCTTGGCATAGTTTTGCATTAATTTTATAAGACTTTTATAAACCAAGAAAAGGTATTAAGTAATTCAACACAATTCACTCTAGGATCTGCAACCGCCGATTGTTAGTGGCTTTGAGGAAAAAGCTGTTTAGCCTAGAGACTTCGAATTCAAGACGAGCAATCCACCTGAAACGCAACTTCTCTGAAACTTTTGACTTACGCTTTGTTTCGAAAGACTATGTGCCCTCGACGATCCGTTCTCTCTCAATGGCAAAGGTCTTCGGAAAGAGTAAGAGTATCTTCGAGACAAATGCAAGTCTCACAAACGACTTCTACACCTATTTATAATCGAGAATGGTTTCTCTCCGATCAAGTATAGAAGAGAGTTCCATCTTTTTGAATGTGAATATATTTATAACTTGAAATATTGGATGTATAATAAATGTATAACGAGGCTGCACATATGTATGTAGGTACATAACTACATCTATGCTAAACGATGATCTCGTTAACTTACCGTACTGCAGATGACACCTTCACGACCGCGATCTCTCAATTCCATCTGTAGACATTCCATAATGCCACGAACAGCAAACTTGGTTGGACTAAACGAAAACAGATCACGAGTGACAGCTCGAAAATTTTCCCAATATACGAACAGCATGGAGTTCATTTCAGTGCCAAGCACAGAAGTTTCTGAAGAAGTAGCTTTGCTACTTCGATCGGTCATTAAAATCGAGCACAGTCCACTCAATAACAAACAAAAATTTGTGTAAGTTTTAACATCGAGTGCAGTCCATTTGATAACAAATAAAAATTTGTGTAAGTTCGTGCAGGATGGGATCCAAAGGGTAGACCTGTTCACCATTCCTAGAAGATAAAAACCATGAGAAAATTGGTGGGCCTAAGGCAAATAGTTATCAAGCAGATATTACAAAGCTGATGGAGTGGCTCTAAAAAGCTGATTAAAGGTAGCAGCCTCGAAGGGCAGCATGTTAAGAGCACGACGAAAGGAATTGAAGCCTGACAGAATGGAATGGAATAGGTAAAGCTAAGGAGAAGTCTAGGGAAGATCGAGGTGATAGTTCGAAAGAGAGAATGAAAAGAAGCTGTTGCGCTGCGAGAGCTCCTGTTGTATGAACAAACGTGATCAGGAATATCCTGTCCTTTCACTTGGCTAATTTATAGAGCGGTCTAAGATATAAAGCCATTTCTCAATAGGTATGATTACTATTTAATGTTCTGGGGGGCGATGAAGCCCTGGTGTTCCGCGGAGCACTTGTTTGGAAGCCTCAAGTAGTTTGTAACTTTTTGCAGCAGATTTTTCCTGATTTTGCTGATTTCGTTCGATTGTCATTGCCGAATTTCGACCGTACAAGGGAATGATATTGGGGTGCACTAGCCATTTAAAACGAAATTCATACTGGGTAAGTGTTTATGGGATCTTCACTCAAGTTTTCGCTTACTCCTTTAAGAACACTTTGAACTGAGTAGTCTTTTGGAACAACAAAGGGAGGGAACTATGTTGTTCGCAAACGCCATACATATGGGATGTGCACCGCCGAAAGCGTTTTCAGATGCAGATCCCGAAAGTGTGGAATGATTCTGAGAACACAGTCACGAAAGTTTTTCACTCCCGGTTGAATCATCGTGTCGCACGGACAAACGAGTAGAGTAGTCGCCCTGTTCTGCTTTGGGGTGCAGTTGTAGGGTACTAAACTCATTCATAGGTATCATATGAAGCTTTGAATTCTCAATGTATGTGCTCACTTTGCTTTCGCATGGAACGTGTGTTAAATGTTTGCAAAACAATTTTAGTCGTGTTGACTGCAGAACACCCTCACATTTACGGAACCCAGGAAATGTCTCTTTGTCACAAAACTCGATATTACCAGAAGAATTATCTGGAGAGGTCGGCTCAAGTTTGGATTGGTTGGGCTTAGGGCAAGTGCAGCAGAGCACATACGAGCCCAGCGAAGCTCTGTCTCCAGGGGGCCGGGCATGCGCTGGACTTGGTATTTCCACATAAATCCATAACTTGATCCAACAAAGGCGTGGAGGGCAGAAAAAAACAAAAGGAGTAATCAAGGCCTTCACGCTGGGCATGCGTTAATATAGTAAAGCTTCGCTCACGATGGGTGGTGCGTAAAATGGAAGCGACTTTTTAAGAATGACATGAACTTCGTTCAGGAACGTTTTAGCAGAAAAGAGGTTGAGATGAGAAAAAAGAGGTTTGAGGCAATAGAAAGAATGTGGCAAAATCTAAAAAGTGGGCAAGGTTTGCACTAAAGGGGCCGGGCTGAGATCAGAAATTCATAACTCTGTTCCAATACATTCTAGCATACGTAGAAAGGTGGGCAAAGGTGAGAAGAAATGTAGTTAGTACCGGGCTGGGCGGGGTTTGCAGTAAGGTGAGCGGGGCTCTGATTAGAAGTAAATCTCCATGTTTAAAAATCTTCTAGTATGCGGAAAAGTGGTCAGAGACGACTAGAGGAAGAGTTGCCAAATTCTCAATGTAGACGGTGCCTGCACTAACGGGGGGGGGGGGGGGGGGGGGNGGGCGGGGTCAATAGGGTATCGAGGGAGCGCGGCTAAGATCAGAAACCCATAATTTTTTTCGACAACAGTCTGGAATGCGGGGAAAAGGTGGTAAAAGGTGGTTAGAGGTTATAGAAGGGATGGGTCAAGTCCTCGGAGTGGGCGGGGTTACCCATGGGCCTTATTTCAACGGCATATTGCTGTTGAAATAAGGATGGTTAAAACCGCATAGTGAATGAGACGTGACATGGCCGAATCTAAGATTAGAAAATCACAATCCAATCGCAATCAGCTCAAACCTACTTGACATTTCAAAATTATTCTATATATTAAGTCACCATCATTACTTATTACTTATGGAAACATCACCATCACTTACTATATGGGAAGGATTTTCATATGGTTGTCTCTCTGTACCTGATACCGAAAATATCTGAAGAGGTCAGTCAAGTTTGGGTGGTTGGAGCTCGGGCAATACCATAATACTGCTCCAAAAAGCTAAGACAGCATCAGAAATAAATGAACAGATCAGACGCAAAAGTCTAGCTCGCAATGAGCTATGCGTTCTTGAACGTTTCTTCACGATTTCCAGATTCTTCACGAGCTGGAGCTCGAATCGAAAAACTCACCTTTCTCCGATGCGTCCTTTATTGTTATACACGTATTATTGCGCAAAGCCCAACTGGTGTCGAGAGAACGCTTTTTAAGGCAGAGATAGTGATACTGTGGGACATTCAGCGGTGGGGTCCGCTCGAAACCCACCTATGGCTTTCTTTGAAATTTTCTTCTATGGGTCTTTCTTTGTTAATTATGAGCGCCATCAAGTGGGAATGCTGTCTGCAACAAGATTTCTACATTGACTGAGGATAAATTACTCTTTTAAGACTCCGCCGATGCCTTCGATCTACAGAGACTTATAGATCGATCCGCTCGTCTTGCATCTGACACAGTCTCTCTCACTGCACATTGGCTTCGTAGTTGATATTCTGTTGTGACAGAACAAAACTTAGTTTCCATGCACAGGGGAGTACAGGCTTTCTCCTTTTAAATGATTGGAAAGTTAAGCGTTTTCTCACTTATAATGCACATGGGTGGATCTGAAGGTCGACAAGTGGTTTTTTCATTGACTTCACTCAAAAAGGTACGTGATGTTACCATCGTCGTTGCTATTATTAGGTACTGAGAAGGATCACCGTGATCCTTCAACGGACTCGTCTTCCTCGCAGTCGCCAACGAGGTTGCCTCACGTAACCGTTCTCTTCTAGATGGTGCTCACGTCGGGTAGCAGAATTCAATTTCCTCTAACAATAAGATAACACCACCTTTATGCAGACTATGTTGTTGGTAATATACTGTAAAGAGCAAGCTAATGATTAATGCAATAACTTCCTTTCAAAAGTTCTCGAAGTTCATTTCGAACGGAGTTTTGTAGCTCCTCTCACTTGAATTGAGTTGCACCGACTTTCGGCCTGTGGAACGAAGAGAAATACGTCTTGGAATGCGTTCCCAGTGCACTCAAAATGTGAGATAGTTCCATAGAGCCAATATGTAGAACGAAAGTTTGCATACGTTTAGGGCATGTTTCATGGAAAGCAAAATGAGCACACGTATGAAGTAGTGGAGTTTTTATGTCATGTCTAAAAGTGCATCGCTCTACCAACTACGCCTCTCTAGCACAACAGAGCGGTTAAACTCTAGCATATCTGTGAACAGGGATTCAACTCAGGGAGAACACCTTCGTATCTTTTTCCTGGAATCGCCCCGCATATCATGAAGGCACATTTAAGATCACCGTTTGGGAACATCTATACGACGGTACACATTTCATACTGAATGGCGATTGTTGCTTAGTACCTGTCCTCCGACCGTTTAGGGGAGTACTTAGTTTGAAGTGCTTTCGAAGTCAGGATCCGGTTAAAAACGACTCGAGAGTAATTTCATTAAAGGAACTCTTCTAGGAAGCTGGACCTAAACCTAACTGTATTCAATACTACCACGGAAATGCTACAATAGTGTTTCAATGATAGAGAAAAAAAGATCATCGGAAGACAAGGTGTCTCATGTTAAGTTTTCTTTCACCAATAAACCACAAATGTCTTTCGCGTCATTCATGTCTACAGCTTGCGGATCCTTGACGTATTAAGCCAAGGATACAGAATACTCGAGATTATGCGGGTGCCAATACTGTTCGTAGGCAACCAAAGCAACGTGACAGTTACCGAAACCACCACTTTCTCGCTAAGACACGCAGCTTGCGCCCCTTTCCGGTACAAGATCCCACACCCCCGAATCGCATGGCATATCAGTGGCATATCAACGACATAAAAATCTGTTTGGCGCAGACGTTGACAATTACAGTACATGGCATTGTTGTAGAAAGAAAAAAAAACAAAATATCATATCACCTTTTATCCCCTCTAGGCAAAGAAGAAACTGTGCTGAGTTAAAGGATAGGAAGGTTTCCGAGGCGTTTTAATGGTTGTAAGTATGTCTTTAACCAAAATTGTAAGATGATAAGTCAGCAGTCTGTCCATCACACCTGTTGTTGAGTACGCTGTCTCAGTAAGGTAAGGAAAGGCATGAAAACAGCAGAAAATATCTGATCGCGTGACTTCATTCCAAAACTGAGCTCTTTTGGTTAATAGCTCTGCGTTGTTGCATGAAAAAGCAGCCAGATGACTAGGTGGAAATTCAGAGGAGTGTTTAAAACAGTGAGCGATGCCCTTGGAACAAAACCTTTATAGCAGAGGTTACCATAGTGTCATTGCAATCTGACATTCCAGCGGGTTGCCTTTAGATTCAGACCGAGAAAGCCCAAATTATTAAAAGAGTGATGCGCGCCAAATAGGCTCCGAGAAGCCGTGGCTACAATAGGGCAGGTGATGCACCTACTTGGGCTCTTTTTAAAATCTCGACCTAAACCTGACATACTTCGACTATATTAGGCTAAAATGGCGGTTGAACTAAGTGGATATTGATTGTGATGATGTTCTTAAATTGAACACAATCGCTCTCGGCTGCTCATGATCCTTTGAACGACGTGCAGGTCTTAATAGAGAAACACTAAACGGACAAGGTGAGGAAGAAAAGGTGAGTGCCTTTCACCTCCTCGTTCTTGTCCTTGGCCACACTTTT